CAACTACTGGTCAGTTTCAGCAGCAGCTGAATGGGGGAAGCCTGTCCGGCTGCCCCAGCACTTCCAGGTTCCTGATGGTGCCGGACCATCAGGAGCCCCGGAGCATTGGATGCTGGACTAATGGAGTTTTACTGTATTAGTAACTCCATATGACATCTGATACATTGATGGGGATTAATATGTCCAAGATCAGGCTTTCAGTCTGTGACAGAGCCAGGGATATAACCTGACTGACTTCCAGTCATGTATACAACCCTCTAGGCTAAATTGTGGCCATTTGGAACCTTATAGATATTCTTGAGAATATCTTACTCTGAGATCTGTGTTCTTAATTTTTCATACATTGATTCTCCTGCATTGGGAACATTCCTGTTGAAATGTTACTTTTTCTCCAGAGATACTGTGATTATTCTACTCTCACTGCAAATGTGTAATGCAGTCTGTGAAAAGAGCATTTGTGCCTGCCTTGATTTCAGCTCTTGTCAATGATGATTATTGGCACTGAGGTTCTGGCATTACATGCACAGCTTCACCTTTCTTTTGGTCCTGAATAGTTGAATGTAATTAGAGCCTTCTTCATGTTCTGTTTCTCCCCTCCTCCCCCCCTCCCCCCCCATTCTCACATTCAGCCATGATTTTCTGTGATTGATGATATTGGCAGTGTTCACTGCCCACAAAGAGGGAGGATGCCTGAGTGAAACAAGGGCAGGGTCTTGAGCTAGTGAGAGATAATATTCAGCATCTTCCCCCTTATTTCCTGTGGCAGTGTTATGCCTTCTGGCACTGTGCCTCCTTGTCTTTCCTGAGGTACCATTGTCTCAGAGGCAGAAGGATTTTGCCCTAAATTGGTTGCCTCTAAAAACTGGATCACATTATGTGCAACTGAATCATTATGCTTTCTTTATTACATCACATATTACCATTGTTGTAGATATACTTCCCATTCTGTGTTCCTTCATATCTTCTCCATGTCCAGCTATGCTTAGTTGCTTTTGTGCCATTGGACTCTTATGGAAGGAGAAATCCAGCAAGATGCCCTAATCTTTTGTAGAACTGCTAATTTATCTTTTAGGGAGTCATTTTTTACCATCTTGGTAGATGGTCAATAGCCAAAATTTACACCAAGCTACTTTTCTTAATAAATAGACTACATTAAAAACATCTGGTTAAATTCAGTCAGCAGGCAACACAATGACACTAAGCCTTGGCCTATGCTTAAAAGTTAGATCAACTTAGCTACATTGCTCAGGGCTGAAAAAGTTTACACCCTGAGAACTGTAGTTAGGTCAACTAGGCCCCTGTATAAACACAGCTAAATTGCCAGAATAATTTTATCAGCCTACCCACTCTCAGAGGTGGATTAAACTACATCAGTGCAAAAACCTCTTCCATCAGTGTAGGCAGCATCTACACTACAGCCTTACAGCTGCAGCACTATACCTGTGCTGGTGTTATGGCTGTAGTGTAGCTATGGCCTCTCAGTGCATCAGATTTAAATTACAGTTGCTTGGAACTTAGTCTAACCTCAGCATACATGAAGGGTTATACATCTTCTGGTCTAGCCTGTACATGGCAGCACTGGGTGGTTTTCTGATTGGTACACATGGTAAAAAACAAATCAACAATCAACATTTTATTCCCAGTATCTTACTCCTTTTAAAAGAGTATACCATTGCCTCTTCTTTTTTCAGACCTTCAAAGAAATCTGGTAGCTTTCAAGGAATCCTGAACCTGGCTACATGTTGTCTGTAAATCGAGTTTTGGTTCTCTTTGTGATACAGGTTCTCGCTGTGACTCAAGCAAGCCACTAGCCTTATATAGTGTATTACAGTACATTTTGACAAATGATGGAGATGGAAGTATGTGATGCTAGCTCATGACTGTGTAACTTACTGTCTTTATTAACAACGAGAAGTCCTGTGGCACCTTATGGACTAACAGATTTATTGGCGCATAAGCTTTTGTGGGTAAAGACCCACTTCATCAGCTGTATCTCCAATAAATTGATTAGTCATAAGGAGCCACAGGACTTCTCATTGTTTATGCAGATTCAGACTAACACAGCTACCCCTCTGAAGTTTGACTTTAGGCCAGTGTACTGTTATTGGGTCTCTCTTGTTTTAGACTGGAGACAGCAATTTGGCCAAAGTTTTCTTTTCCCATAATTAAGGTGGGTGGAGGAACTGTGCAATGATTTTACACCCCATTTCCTAGTTTTGGATTTAACTTTTAGAGCCCCTTCCCCTAGCAAATGTTAGAAACAAAATCTGCCCATGTGGCTGGTTCCATTGTGTATAAATTAGGGGTGTGAAGGTTTAACTGGTTTACCAGTGGGGCTGGAGCAGCTCTCCACATGCTGTGGGCAGGGGGCTGCTCCAAGCCCACGGGGGAAGGAGCTGTGCAGATAGGGGCTGCCTCTGTCTGTGTCTGGCCTGAGCACCCTGTAGACAGGCTGCTCTAGTCAGGATGCTGGAGCAGTCTCTACCTGCAGGGCGCGCCTTGGCCCACCGCGGACAGGGATTGCTCCAGCCAAGTTGGAGCAGTCCCTGCCTGCAGCAGTGAGGTGAGGGGGGGGGGGGCATTCTAGATGGGCTGGAGTGGGTGCCCCACTTGCTGTTTTTTAGTTGGTTAACTGGCTAAACCATATGTTTAATCAGTTAGCCAATTAAATAGGATAGTATAAATATAAAAATCAGTGTGCATAATACACTGCAGACCTATTGTTCAGAATAACAAGCTTAGGTGTGACTTCCAGATACATTGTATAACATGCTGTGATAAATGCAGTTAAAGTGGTGAAGGGTGAACATTACCCAACGAAGAACAAGGTAATCAAATGGGGAAAAACATTTTTCTCTTTTCAGGCTCTTGAGGTGCATCCGGGGTATTTGGTTCACATGGCAGCAGCAAACTTGACTCCACCTGGTTCTTTGGATTTAAATCTGCCTGGATTTTCGAGAGAGATACTTGGGACTAAATTGGAGGGCAAATACCTCTGCTCTGAGTGCAAGAATATTTTGAGGAGGCCATTTCAAGCTCAGTGTGGACACCGCTATTGTTCCTACTGCCTGAAGAAACTTATAAGGTAATTTATTCTCCGGTCTGCAACCAAACGAATGTAAGCAAAGGAAAGCAAAAAAGGAAATACAGCCTTACTTTCTGTGGGTGTGAATGAAGGCCATGTTTTAGGTCTGTCTCTTAGTTTCAGCATCTGGTCCTCTTCAGGCCCTGGAGAACATGTCTACACAGCATTTTGCAGTCCTTGGGAAGGAGCCCTCCAGCTCAAGTTGACCAACTCAGGCTAGCAGGGCTTGCACTAGTGCTCTAAAATCAGTGTGTAGGAAAGGAATAACTGAAATAGAGCAGAAATGTGTATTCATTAAAAGGATCAATCAGTGAATGTAAAATGTATGTTAGAAAAGAGTTCCGTTTGCTGTTTTAAAATATACTTGTATAAATAAACCTCCTTTGTCTCTGAAGGATCTCTAGAGAAGCCTCTGTCACTGAATGACAAATTCAGCCCGAATCTTTTTACTTTATGGCTGATTTTTTTTTCTCTGCTCCTATTAGCTCTGGGCCTCAGAAGTGTGCAGCCTGTATTCAGGAAGGAATATATGAAGAAGGAGTTTCTATTTTAGAAACAAATTCGGTAAGTAAGACCTCTCCAAGACAGAAAACATTGAAGTCATTCATAAACATTTATTGTTTTTGTTTGGAGTGAGAGGTCAGAGAATGGCACCTAACAATGATGGACTCCATTATCTAACAGGTGTGAATTCTGTACCCTGAGTGTAATGATTAGTGCTGCAATTGATTCCCCAACCTTTACAATTCAGGACATCCTATAACAGCGTTTCCCAAATTATGGGCCACGGCCCGATACCGGGCCACGGGAAAAAAATACTGGGCCTCAGCATGCTTGGTGGCTGCCGGCAGGGCCAGCCTTAGGCCAATTTGGGCCCCGTGCCCCTGAACCCGGAAGTGCTGGCGAGTTATAGAGCGGGGGGCCCTGCTCCACTGATATCAAAATATGGGTGACCATATCAAAAGCTTTGCTAAAGCTGGCACTGGAGGTTTTGGGAGGACCAGAAACAACTTATTTGGATATTCATCATTTGATTAACGAATATTCAAATATGCAAATGAACATTACGTGTCCTCCAAAAGTTCGTGAATGGATTTACTGGTCCCCGTGTCAAAAAGTTTGGGAACCTCTGTCCTACAACATAGATTACCCATTTAAACTCTGCAATAAAGACTTGTTATAGATGTGTCCATGGGAGATAGCTACCTCTGCTTACAGGGGCGGGAGTAATTAAGCTGATGGGAAAGCTCTCCCATTGGTTTAGAGCATCTGCACTAGGAGCAGAGCAGCTGCAGTAATACAAGCTTTATAGTGTATCTGTAGCCTTAGTTTAGGAGGAGAGTTCAAACAACAAAGAGAGAAATTGTGATTAGGAATGTCAAAATCTAACTAGTTAACTGGTTACGTGGTGGGCCCGGCTGAGCTGGAGCAGCCCCACCCACGGAGGGCTGGGCCAGAGGAGTTCCCTGCGGACAGTTGGTTGGTTGGCTGGCAAAGCCCCAGCCCTGCACAGTTAAATAAAATTAAAAGCAATTAAAATTATATTGTTTAACCAGTTAACTTTGCTAATGTGTATGCACATCCCTAATTGTGACCCTGTTTTATCTTTTACATTTAGGCCATATCTGCACTACCATTTGTATCAACTAAACATAGTCACTCGGGTGCAAAAAAATACCTGTTTGAGCAACATAATTTCTCTGGCACAAGTGGTGGTGTCTATGGGCTTATGTCTGTGAGAGAGCGTCCCCCCGTGGACCTAGCTACCACCATATGGGGAGGTGGTTTTATTATGTTGATGGGAGAGCATAGAGCAGCTACACAAGCGATCTTGTAGTCTGAGAGCTTCACTAGTGTACACCAGGCCTTAGCCTTCCAATCCATGAGACACACTCCTTTGCACTTATGTTTCCAAGGTATGATAGGGCTGTCCACAAATCCTATGCATTGTGATGTTTCTTAGTGACCTGTTTAATCTTGATAGGCTTCTTTAAAGGATGGGGTGCATGATTCTTATGCCTGGGTCCACCAGTTGAGCAAATATTTTCAAAATTATGAAACAAAACATAGTATTTCCTTATAGCATGGAATACAGACATGGCATAGGAAATTAATACATAAGAATGGCCATGCTGGGTTAGACGAAAGGTCTATCTAGCCCAGTATCCTGTCTTCCAACAGTGGCTAATGCCGAATGCCCCAGAGGGAGTGAACAGAACAGATAATCGTCTCGTGATCCCTCTCCTGTCATCCATTTCCAGCCTCTGACAAACAGAGGCTAGGGACACCATCCCCGCCCCTCCCCCCTTTCCTGTCCTCCTTTCCCAGCCTCTGACAAACAGAGGCTAGGGACACCATCCCTGCCCATCCTGGCTAATAGCCACTGATGAACTTCCATGAATTTATCTAGTTCTTTTTTTAACCCTGTTAAAGTCCTGGTCTTCACAACATCCTCTGTCAAGGAGTTCCACAGGTTGACTGCTGTGTGAGGAAAAATTTCCTTTTGTTTGTTTTAAACCTGCTACCTATTAATTTCATTTGGTGACCCCTAGTTCTTATGTTATGGGAACAAGTAAATAACTTTTCCTATTCACTTTTTCTTCACCAATCATGATTTTATAGACTTCTATCATATCCCCCCAGAAGTCCCAGTCTTTTTAATCTCTCTTCATATGGCACCCATTCCAATCACTAATAATTTTTGTTGCCCTTTTCTGAACCTTTTCCAGTGCCAAGATATATTTTTTGATGAGGCAACCACATCTGTAAACAGTATTCAAGATGTGGGCATACCGTGATTTTATGTAGTGGCAATAAGATAGTCTCTGTCTTATTCTCGATCCCTTTTTACATGCAGCAATTTACAAGCATTTCGTAGTGCTTAAACATTAAATACATTCTTACAGTACTGATATCTGTTTTGAAGACCACTAACGTACAGGTGAGCCAGTTTGGTTTTCAACTATGAGTTTATCAGCTCTTAGCTAAACTAGCTCCAGCCAAAGCCATAGCGATTACCAGAATCACAGATACATCTTTAAAGGTATTGTGGGATAACAGATTTGGGAAGACTGTTTCATAACCACTATTTGATCTGAGGAAGTGGGTCTGGCCCACGAAAGCTCATCATCTAATAAACCATCTTGTTAGTCTTTAAAGTGCTACATTGTCCTGCATTTTGCTTCATAACCACAGTGTGTGAAGAATCAGGATACTAGATCAAAGCTGCAATCCCAGAATAACTTGTCTTGTTTTTTTCCCGTGAGGCTTTCCCAGATAATGCAGCTCGTCGTGAGGTGGAAAGTTTGCCGTCTGTCTGTATTAACGATGGCTGTACCTGGAAAGGAACTATTAAAGAATATGAGGTAAATACTAGAATGAGTCTTCCTTGTATTTCTTCATTGTGATTGCTGCTTTTTTGTGTATGTGAGTAGCGATGGACAAGGCACTTGGGAATTGAATGAGTTCCTTCTGGCATTAGCCATCAGCGTCTAAAATTTCAGCTACATTAACTCAATCCTGGATAAGTTCTAGCCTCCTGGAACTTTCAGACATTTCCAGTCTAACTTAGGTAGTTGTGTCTCCAAAAACTTTTCCAGTCACTAGAATACTTGGTATGATCCCAAAAACCAGCCATTTTTTTCTTCTGTGATGTCCAAAAGCCCCACATCTTCCAAGACACTGTATCCCAGACTTTTTAATGCATCAGCCCAGAAATGTTCCTCAAAAATGATGATAATAGAAATATTGGGCAGATAGGGACCTCCAGTGGCCATCTAATTCAGCCACCACAGTTGGCCAAATGTTTGTCCCACCTGTTCTTGAAAACCTCCAATGACAGGGATTCCATAATCTCTTGGAATAAAATTGATCACTGTCCTCTTTATAGTGGACTTTAACATTTTTGAAAATGTTATCAGCTCCCTACCTTGGGTTCCATTTCTCAAGACAAAACATGCCCAGTTTTTTAACCTTTCCTTAGAGGGCAGGTTTTCTAGACTCTTTCTCATTTGTTTTGCTCTTTGGATTCGCTCCAATTTGTCTGTGCCATATATGGTTAAAATAGGCATTTATCTTCAGGCCTGACTCAATGCATTTGTTTTGGCGGTGGTAGAGTGAATGTGGTCCTTGTCCTGCCCACTGTGCTGTTGCGTCCAGGGCCTGTAGTAATAGAGATAGTAAAGCAGTCCCTCAACACGCAGGAGACTTGGGCAAAAGGTCCAGAGTTATGGATTCAGTGGGTATGCCCTTAAGTAACCCCTTCCACCAGCTTGCTGGACAAAATGGTTTCTGCCCCTCCCCTATCCCTAGTATCAGAACCTCACCATTCATGTATTCAACTCTGCTGTTTTTATGGTTCCCTGAATGTAAATACAAATGCAAAGTGCTCCACTTAGGAAGGAACAATCAGTTTCATACATACAGAAGGGGAAGCAACTGTCTGGGAAGGAGTACTGCAGAAAGGGATCTAGGGGTTATAGTGAACCACAAGTTGAATATGAGTCAGCAGAGTGATGCTGTTGCAAAGAAAGCAAACATGAATCTGGGATGCATTAACAGGTGTGTTGTGAGCAAGACACGAGAAGTCATTCTTCCGCTCTACTCTGCACTGGTTAGGCCTCAACTGGAGTATTGTGTTCAGTTCTGGGCACCGCATTTCAAGAAAGATGTGGAGAAATTGGAGAGGGTCCAGAGAAGAGCAACAAGGATGATTAAAGGTCTAGAGAACATGACCTATGAGGGAAGGCTGAAGGAATTAAGTTTGTTTAGTTTAGAAAAGAGAAGACTGAGGGGGGGACATAATAGCCGTTTTCAGATATCTAAAAGGGTGTCATAAGGAGGAGGGAGAAAACTTGTTCATCTTGGCCTCTGGGGATAGAACAAGAAGCAATGGGCTTAAACTGCAGCAAGGGAGGTTTAGGTTGGACATTAGGAAACAGTTCCTAACTGTCAGGGTCGTTAAACACTGGAATAAATTGCCCAGGGAGGTTGTGGAATCTCCATCTCTGGAGATATTTAAGAGTAGGTTAGATAAATGTCTATCAGGGATGGTCTAGACAGTATTTGGTCCTGCCTTGAGGGCAGGGGACTGGACTCGATGACCTCTTGAGGTCCCTTCCAGTCCTAGTATTCTATGAATGTGACCATTAGCACATACACAGATAAATGTTTTTATTTGGTATGTTGGGGGAATGTGGGGTGCTGTAAAGGGCAAATTACTGCTTAACTACAAAGGAGTGAGTTTAGGTTTAGAAGTGGTCTCGGGAAGGAGGCTGGGGCACTGGAAGGGGCTTTGATATGTCAGATCCAGGAGTTGCTCCCCACATGCTGCTCTTATCTTAGTCCCTTTACTCAGTGTTTTTCAACATCTGGACTCTGATTCCATTGTTTCCTGAGGGTTGTAAAACTTACCCCACAGACCAAGTTTTCTTATATATTTATTTAAGTTGTTCCTAACTCTTCTGATTGAAAGGATTTATTTGCAATGCAAATTACTACAGAGACTATTCACTACAGAGTGCTGGGAAATATGCCATACAGTCCCAGGGAATGATTCCCATTCAGATGCAGATATAAAGTTGCTTGACACTTTAAATGACTACTTCTTGGAGTAGCTGGTCCTGGAACCCACAAGAAGAGGCAATTACTGGTTTAGTCCACTCCCCCCCTCTTCTCATGCCCTTCCTTTCCCACTACCTTTTTCCTCCACCCCAGCTCTCTTGCCCTGTCCCACTCCAGGTACTCATTACTGTGCAGAAAAAGTGTGGTTCCCAGCACACAGAAGGGTAGCGCAGCAGGCACTAGGACTCAGGAAGCTTCATTCAGCTGCAAAGTCAACACAGCCGAGTGACACCTTTTTCAGCCAGCAGCTCTGGGCTTGTTGAAACTTGAGAGATGGGGAGCCTGTGGCACGATTCCATATGCCTCCTGCTTTACCTCTGTTTGGGGAATAATGCCTTCCCAAACTATGCTCATGGGACCCCAAACCCCTCCTACCCTCACATGACTTCCCTTGGTTTCACTGTCCCTTTCAACAGGGAAGCAAAGAAATCTGCAGGTGATCATGTTTTCTCTGTGGTGCAGAATTCCTCCAGGAGTAAAGCTAGGTCTGTGGGAATAGTACTAGTGACTTTTATGTCTGTTGGGAGTGAAGAAGGATTATGGCAGCTGTAGTAGTTGATTTATCTGATATCTCACTTCTCTTCCCCATTGTGGCAAGGTTGAGTGTTGGAGGGATGTTATGCCAAGAATCCTAATCAAACTTGGCCATGTTGGGCAGGGTGGGGAGCTGTTTAGTGAAGGGAAGTACCCAATAAATATGTTAAAGCAGGGTCTAACCAGCATACTCCGTATCTTTGTAAATTGCTGGCTAGTATAGATGTAGTTAGTAGATAAGCAGGGGTTTCAGAAGAGTGCTGTGGTGTGTCAGTTTTATAGCATGCCTAAAACCATGCTGTATAACCTGAAATCAACAACGTGCGTTGCTTTCTTCAGCAGCAAAAACACTCCCAGCATGGAAAGCCCCTTGCTGTGCTATTTCAGACAGACTATGGAAAGTACCTAAAAGATAATTCACTGGTTATTCAGTTTAAAAGCTTGCAGCACTCCTATCAAAGGAAACTCATTTGGCTGCCCTCTGATTATAAATTAGGAGACTGTGTCACAGAGGTGTGAGAGAAAGATGATCACTTCTGTAGCTGAAAATTTTCTACCCTTCACCTTTAAAGTCCTTCCTTAGCTCTCCTAAGTTTTACTTTCTGTTTAGCCTACTACAGGTCATGGTTCATATTCTTTCTTTCAACTCTTCATATTGTGAAAAATATTAAAATATTCAGCACTGTTAGAAGAGATCTGAATTTTTAAATACGATTTTCTTACTGTGTTTTGAATATGCTGGGAAATGCTTGGAACATATAGAATTCATCTGCAAACATCTGGAAGAAAATAAAGTGATAGGTAACAGCTAGCATGGATTTGTAAAGAACAAATCATTTCAAACCAATCTGATAGCTATCTTTGATAAAATAACAAGTCTTGGGGATAAGGGAGAAGTGGTGGACATGGTATACCTAGACTTTAGTAAGGCATTTGATATGGTCTTGCATGACTTTATCAATAAATTAGGCAAATACAACTTAGATGGTGGGTGCATATCTGGCTGGATAACCATTCTCAGAGAGCGACAAGGAGTCCTATAGCACCTTATAGACTAACAGATGTATTGGAGCATAAGCTTTTGTGGGCAAAGACCCACTTCGTCAGATGCATGTGGTGGAAATATCCAGAGGCAGGTATAAATATGCAGGCCAGAATCAGGCTAGAGATAATGAGGTTAATTCAATCAGGGAGGATGAGGCCCACTTCTAGCAGCTGATCTGTAGGTGTGAATACCAAGAGAGGAGAAACTGCTTTTGTAGTTAACTAGCCATTCACAGTCTTTGTTTAATCCTGAGCAGATGGTGTCAAACTTGCAGATGAACTGTAGCTCAGCAGTTTCTCTTTGGAGTCTGGTCTTGAAGTTTTTTTTGCTGCAGGATGGCTACCTTTAGATCTGCTGTTGTGTGTCCAGGAAGACTGAAGTGTTCTCCTACAGGTTTTTGTATATTGCCATTCCTAATATCAGATTTGTGTCCATTTATTCTTTTACGTAGGGGCTGTCCAGTTTGGCCGATGTATATAGCAGAGGGGCATTGCTGGCACATGATGGCGTATATTACATTGGTAGATGTGCAGGTGAATGAACCAGTGTTGGTGTGGCTGATCTGGTTAGGTCCTGTGATGGTGTTGCTGGTGTAGATATGTGGGCAGAGTTGGCACTGAGGTTTGTTGCATGGATTGGTTCCTGAGTTAGTTATTGTGGTGCGGTGTATAGTTGCTGGTGAGAATATGCCTCAGGTTGGCGGGTTGTCTGTGGGCGAGGCCTGGCCTGCCTCCCAAGACCTGTGAAAGCGAGGGATCATTGTCCAGGATGGGGTGTAGATCACTAATGATGCATTGGAGAGGTTTTAGCTGAGGACTGTAGGTGATGGCCAGTGGTGTTCTGTTGGTTTCTTTCTTGGGCTTGTCCCATAGCATTAATCTGTTTCCTTACTTCCTCGTGTGGGTATCATAGTTTCAAGAATGCTTGGTGAAGATCTTGTAGGTGTTGGTCTCTGGCTGAGGGGTTGGAGCAAATACGGTTGTACCTCAGTGCTTGGCTGTAGACAGTGGATCGTGTGGTGTGACTAACACGGCTAACCCTCTGATACTTTCTCAGAGAGTAATTATTAATGGTTCACAGGCATGCTGGAAGGGCATAACAAGTGGAGTTCCACAGGGGTCTGTTTTGGGACCAGTTCTGTTCAATATCCTCATTAACAATTTA